AGCCAAGTCAGGCCAGCCGGCCAGAGTTCAAAACCTGCACCCACTCGGAGGCTTCACTGGGTACGAGAAGGGGCTGATCGGGTGCTAGGGGCCTATGGCCGAGGGGGCAGAGGTCAGAACCCCCCATCAGCACACAGGGCCGGCCCGGGGAGTGGACGAGCCGCCTGGAGCCTGAGGGAGGACCAAGTGAAGCAATGGGCGGCTGAGATTCTGCTGGCCCTGGAGGCATTGCATGAGCAGGGGGTGCTGTGCCGGGACCTCAACCCACAGAACCTGCTTCTGGACCAGGCAGGTAGGAGCTCTAGCCCCCACTGCTCCCACTACTCAGGTGGGAGTCCAGGGTCAACGGGACCCCCAAGATTACAAGGCCACTCGCTGTTCCTCCCCACTCGCCTTCCTTCATCTGTCCCTTTATAGAGGATATGAACCTGGGCAGAAGCTTCAGGAACACCCCTGGGCCCTGGGCAAAAAGGGGCTATGCCCTTAGGGAGACTTCACATGGGATAACCTTTAACCCCCGACATGACTGAATTGGGGGAAGCCTTGGGGACTGCTTCGAGGTTCCAGCTCCTCAGTGGTATTGTTTCAACTTTCCCCCCATCATTCCTCCCTACACATCCTGGACAAGAAGGTCACATCCAACTTACGTATTTTGGCCAGTGGTCAGAAGTGGAGCCCCAGTGCAGCCAGGAGGCTGCGGACTGCCTGTACAGCGCTCCAGGCAAGAGGGGAGTTGGGAGAGGTTCCTAGATCTTGGCTGCCTTTGTATGGGTTAAGGACTGGATGGGTGGCCATTGCTAGGATGAGGACAGAAAGGGCCCTTTTATGTAAAATGGGGATGTATGTGTTCTTGTTCTCACAGAGGTTGGCGGCATTTCTGAGCTGACTGAAGCCTGTGACTGGTGGAGCTATGGGTCGCTTCTGTATGAGTTGCTCACAGGAACGGTGAGTAGCTGGGCAGGGTAGAGAGCCCAGGTGGGGCCCACTGGGTACAGGCAGAGCAGCCAGTCAGGGTCAACACAGAGCCTGCCTGGTTCTCCATGCCTGACCTTTGGGCTGGATGGCCTTCCACCCATCAGAGCAGCAGTAACAGAGGAAGTCAATCCTACCACGAGGGACTGTGGCTAGGGAGGCTGTCCGCTTCCATGAATTATGTGAGTTGGGATAAGCAGAGGTTTATGGAAGAGTGTGCCTGGCAGTAGGTTTGCAGAAGCCAGTGACCCTTCCCCGGAAGGCCTCTAGATTGTATCCTAAAATCTCCTTTTCCTACTATTCACTCCCACTCAGCCTTCAAGGCGACAATCTCTAGGCTTCAATTCAAGAAGATGGGAGAAAGCTCTTCTGTCCAAGCCAGCAGCCACCTTATCAGCCAGGTCAGCCAAGCCCACTTTCGGAGGAAGCTTGGCTGGTCAAGTGTCCACTGCTCAAGCATAGAGACTTGAGTTTGATGGCCAGCAGCCACATAGAAAGAAGTCAAGTGCAATGACGCACATCTGAGACCCTACACAGGGTCTGGGGTGAGACAAGCAGATTCCCAGAGCTTGCTGGTCAGCCAGGCGAGTCCAGTGAGACCCTGTCTCAGAAAAATGAGGAAAGCAGTAGAGGAAAAACACCCAACTTCAACCTCTGGCCTCCACAAGCATCTACACACACACACCTACTTGACAAGGCTTTGTCCTCTGTGCTCCACTCAGATGAGCTCAGAACTGTATGGGGGGCCAAGCAGGTTGGGAGAGAACAAACTACAGTTTGAGGGGCACCAGCAAACTATGGTGTGACCAGAGGACAGACCTGACCTGCTGTTGTTCACCATGGCTCAGGGCCTCTGAGAACCCTTTATGCAAGTAGCCCCAAGTCCCACATGACTTTCTCCTGCCTTTCCTCTTGCAGCTCATCCTTACCTCAACATATTTGTCACTGCAGTCCTGCCTTGGCATTAATGGCTGTCTGTGTAGCTTGTGGAGGCTTTTTTTTTTTTTCTGTAAGGAAAGTTTTAGCGCTGTTCCCGATAGCATCTACTCTAAAAACAATAGAGACACTGGTTCTAATGAGCTACAAGTCCAAACCCCGGTGCTAACCCAAGTCCTTTTTCCTGAGCCAGCTTGTCTTTCATGTCAGGGTCATCTTCCTCCTGGACTGTATCATGGGGGAGGGGAAGTCTTGGCTGCCACTAGGGTGTAAGCTTCCCTAAAGCGGCCTCTCCTTGTACCCCCTGCCACCCAGGCACTGTCCCAGAACCACCCCTCAGGATTCCAGGCCCACACCCAACTCCAGCTGCCCGAGTGGCTCAGTCGCCCAGCGGCCTCTCTGTTGACTGAGGTGAGGTTGCTGCCTGGCCGAGATAGCTTGTTGGTATACGGGTGGGGGATGAGAGGAACCACCTGTTCACGTTGATACAAGCACTGGAAGGCACGAGGGCAACAGGACAGTAAAAGCCCATGAATGCTTGTGCTAGCTACCACCGTCACCGGGAGGGCCTTACTGAACTCCCCAGGGATTCTGGTGACAGAGTGGGTGCCTCCTTCTGTGATGGGGAAGGGCTGCAGAGTGCCGATTCAATCTCTCCCCACAGCTGTTGCAGTTTGATCCCCAGAGGCGCCTAGGTGCTGGAGGTGGTGGTACCAGCAAACTCAAGTCCCACCCCTTTTTCAGTACCATCCAATGGAGCCGACTAATGGGGTAAGAGGTCGGTAAGTGGACAAAAAAATCTGGCCTGGTTCTCTCGGCTGTCTGCCAGCTGGGCTGGCCCCTCTCACCATGAACTCCAGGGGAAGAGTGTGGGGCAGCGACCTGGGGCAGCACCCTGATCAGAACCTGCTTGGGCCTCTGACTGATGACTACTAACTGTCCTCAAAACCAAACCAAACCCAGCCCCTGGAGAAGCTGCTGGAGGGGCAGTGAGGTGCACCCTGCTGAGCAGCCAAACTCACCAGTCCACAGACATCTGTTGAACACATGCCCTGTACCTTTAGCTGGGACCTGTCATGTTAAAGGGCGCCTTCTGTCGCTCCAGTTCCAAACAGCTGAACAGCTGCTGAGCCAACTGACAGGTCTGGTGACACTGCCATGTTGTATACCACTTAAACATCTCTGGAGACATCTCAGGACACTGGACCCCTGGCTCAGTAGACCCGGACCAAGACTGGCCTAGGTCTACTTCAGTCTGCAGGGTGAAGTGGGCAGGTGTGTGTGTGTGTGTGTGTGTGTGTGTGTGTGTGTGTGTGTGTGGCAGGGGTGGTATGAGCCACTCCCCACTCCTCATCCTTTTTTGGTTTCTGACTTGGGAGAATAAAACTGAGGGGGAGAGAAGCCAGTAGTGTTAAGGAAACACTTTTAACCATGTAGCCGGAGTCTGAAAACAGAAATAAAGAGCTTTATTCTCTGGCTGGTTCTGTGTCAGAAGAGCCTGTTCCACAGGACCAACAGCAGATTCTTTTCTTGGGTGTTGGTTGTTTTCCACTGTACATTTTGATATGAGCTTCAATTCACTGCCTGCCCTGACTTTTCGAATGAGATACCACAGAAAATATGGACTAATTTCACCCAGTGCCTTCCTTCTGCCCGGCATCTCTGGTGTCTGAAGAGCTGGGTAAGTGGTGTGTATCTTCAGATAGCCCCTCCCTAGGTTTGAGGGCTTGCCTCAGGACAACCCAGTTACTGGGGCATGGCATATACAACAAAATTTCGCTTGACCAAACCCCAGATCTTTCTAGTGTGTCTACAACGTAGGTGGCATCTGGCATCGTTCACTCATTGGGCAACTCGGCAAACGTGTGTGTCTGTGTGTTCGTCCTGGCAGTGCCTGGGGTTTGCCCACCCTCTAATAAAGCCTAGTCTTTCTGTGGCACCTTTGCATCATTAATGTAGTCAGTGACCTGCAAGGAAGCAGCCTGAGGAACAGCTTCAGGAAAAGGGAGGAGGGGGAAGAGAAACATCTGAGGTCGTGGTGCCCGAGGAACACACTGCCTTAATCCTCCTAGTGAGTTGTGGAAGATTCTTCTGAGAAAACAAGAGGCTTTTGAGAGGTTAACTTGGAGCATGCTGGAGCTGGCTCACAAGTATAGGTTCCCTCTGTGGTAGCCCATAATGCCAGACTTCAGTTACTGCTTCATAAAGCACACCTCACTTCTGGGCCTGCCCAGCCATCACATTGTACATTCGGTACTCAGTTGAGCCATCAATTCAGAACACCATGGTCCCAGTTCTGACAGGGCTTATAGATGGCCATTCAGTAAAACAAAACTAATGGCTACTCCAGATGTTTTACCGAAAAATAAAAACTTGTAGCATATCAAGCACTAGGCCTGATTTGTAACTGAACCCACCTACCAGCTGTGACTGCTCAAGGACTCCACTTCTTCCTGTGGCAGGCCTCCAGGAGGACCTCACTGCAGACTACATCAGATGAGAGGCTGTGTGGAAAAGCAAGGCTGTGCTGAAGCCTGTACTCCATCATGCCTACCCACGGTGGTCCGTCTAAGCTGGTGACCAGGCCTGTCCTGTCCATTGCCCCTTACAGACTGCAGCTCCGAGGACGCAACCTCTCACCGTTCTTGGTACACAGGTGGCAACTAATCCCAAATGAAGGCACAGATGTTCATGCCTCGCGCAAGCCCCTCAAAAGGGCATTGTTCCCTGGTGTCTTCAAGGGGCTTCCCATAGGTGGGAGCCATAGTTTCTCTTCGAGAGTTGGTTTGTGAGGACCACAGGGTTCCCTGAAAGGAACCCAGGGCATTAAGAGAATAGTGGGTTCCCCTGGCTGGCAGTCAGAGCAGCATAGCATTAACACGTCTGAAGTATGGGATCCCCTGCCTGGGATGTTGCTCAGCGGTGAGTATACAAAGATCCAGGATTTAACCATCATCTCTACCAGAAAGTTACAAGATGCCACAGGATAGCCAACTTGTGATGAAGCTTTCAGTAACAACACTGTGGTTGCCAACAGTGTTGAGGGCTGTTCAGCCTCAAGGGTTAAAAGGAGCACAGATGCTGGAGCCCTGTTTGAGAACATTTGCCCTTTAATTTTCATTCAAAATCAGTCTCTTTAAATATTTGTTACAAGTTCTGAATGGTGAAGATGTAGTAGCAGATGCTGCAGGCACTCAATACTGACCTCTTCCCCTCCCCCAGCTTGTCTTGGATTACAAGAAAAAAGGGCATTCAGCGCTAATGGCCCAGCGTCAGCTGTCAGCAGTCTCAGGCCCCAGTGCAGGACACAAGGCCCAGGGGCTTTCATAACTTGTTACTTGCATTTTAACCGCGCTTCAAGAAATTCCAATGATTGTACCTGCACCCGAAGGGTGACCTTGGAGATGACATCATCCATTTCATCACTATATCACTCCTGAGAGAAAAGCCTCTTCCCATCACATGCTCATACCACCTTCAATTAAAAGCTCTAACTCAACCTGATCTGGTCAGAGCAGTCCCTTCACCAGGCTGTCCCACTGCCATGAAGTGCTAAAAATCTGCTCTAAATGAGAACAATGTCCTAGAATGATTCCTAGAAGCCTGGAAAGGGTTGGTATGACCACAGTTGTATGTGATTATGCCAAAATGAATCTTCCCAGTGTGAGCATACAATGGAGCCTGTGAGGGCAAGCCAGGGTTCAACTCTCATCTGTAATGAAATACGCAACCTCAGGGGACTCTGCACAATTCTGCCTATCCCCAAATCCCCTGAGCTGTGCTTCCTGGAAGAGGTAGAGAGGCACCTTGAAGCCACTGACAGCGCAAAATGATGGCGCATTTAAGAAGCAAAGCAGCACCTCTTTGCCTGTGTTCAATACCTCCACATAGGTGGCATCAGGTGAGAATGTGCACAGCTGGGACAGAGGCTGCCTTGAGCCTGGGAGGCAAAGCAGCCCCCTAGGCATCTCTGGGGAACACTTTCCAAAGATGGAAACTCAAATCACATGGTCCCTGGTGGTATCCCTATAGAATACTATTAAGAGGAAAAGCAAAGTTGTCTTTACAGAGGTTGGAAGAAAGGCAGGAATAGTAATGAACATCTGTTAAGGCTCTCTCTCTCTCTCAGGCCCAAGATATCAGAAGGTAAGAGAGAGAGATAGAGAGAGAGAGCCTAGAAGGAGCACTAATAAAAGACCTGTGAAAGCTGGTTACATAGTGCCCTGGCTTCCTTGCTTGAGGCCAACAGTATGTGCCTGCCTGTCATCAGGCTAACCTGGGACTGATGAGGGGACAGGGAGAAGACTGGTTTTCAGTTCCTGCATGATCAAATAGGGAGTGGTATGTGGTTTCCTCCTAAAGGTCTAGGAGGAGGACTCTTGGATCTTCTACCGCTGCCTTGATTTTTCGGAGGAAAGTCACAGCCTCTCTGCCGTCAATCAGCCGATGGTCATAGGTCAGGGCTACATACATCATAGGCCGCACTTCCACCTGCAAAGAAGGGAGGTCAACAGGTTTGTATCCAGCAGATCACAAAAAGACTGCTGAGAAAGCAAAGTCTGTATCAACATTCCTTAGTTCCAAAGTCTCTTCTACCACTCCTGCCTCTAGATAACTTAAGTTTATTTTCTTTAGTGCAAAGCCCTAGGACTTAGAAGCAAAGTTTAAACAAAGAAACAGGTTCCTCAAAATTGCCTTAAAACAAATAAGCAATACCATAGTCTAGGCTGTGCACTCTTACCTACAGAAAGGTTTTCTCTTCACCTGTGGCTGCCTGTTGGAGCTACTTTAAAGTTACAATCCTTATTAGTTCAGTTTTTACAATGTTGTAGATCCAATATTGGCCTTGGCTATGCTAGGCAAGCACCCCACTACTGAGCAACACCCCTAGCCTTGAAGTTACAATTTAAAAATTTTATTTTATTTTTATGAGACTGATCTCATGTAGCACAGGCTGTCCTCAAACTCAATATACAACCAAGGATGACACCAAACTCTTGGTCCTCTAGCCTTTGCTGCCTGAATGCCGTAATTACAAGTATGTACTACCACACCTGGCTTATCAGACGCACATGCTAGGCAAACATGTTACCACTAGTATATGTCTGAGGGGAAAAATAAATCTTTAGTTCAAATTTTCTATTCCCCGCCAGGTGTGGTGGTACACGTCTTTAGTCCCAGCACCCCGGAGGCAGAAGCAAACAGATCTCTGAGTTCAAGGCCAGCCTGGTCTACACAAATAATTCCAGGGCAGATAGGCTACAGAGAAACCCTGTCTTGAAAATCCATTAAACAAACAAACCAACCAATCTGCTGTGTGTAAAGCTAGGTGTATCCAGGAAAAAGACCTATGATTTTTGGATTTATACAGGAGTCAATAACCCAAAAACCTTCTAGACATAGCAGTCTCAGAGATCTTTATTTTTTAAACTAACTTATCTTCCAATGGCTAACTCAAGCTCTTTTGTCTCCTTCACATGACCTGTGCCCATGGATTGCTATGCACTGTGCCCGGTTTCCCAGGGTCAAGGAGCAATAGATAGGCAGATGAAAGAATACTCTCCAAGTCTATCCATCACCGACTCCCTGAGGTGCTGACAATGAAACATGTTAGCAAGTCCCACAGGGAAGTTTTACAAATATCAGAACTATCTGCATTACAGCTTCTGTAGATTGAGTTAGGGGGTGGGTATAAAAATTATTTTTAAAAAAATTATTATTTTAATATGTATGAGCATTTTGTCTACACGTGTACCATGTGCCTTCCTGGTAGCCAAGGAGGGCAAAAGAGATCCCTCGGAACTGGAGTTACTGATGGCTGCAAGGCACCATGTGTACGCAGAAAACTGACCATAGTGCTTGGCCAAGAGCAGCAAGTGCTCCTAATCACCGATTCATCCCTCCAGTCTGAAGCTGCAGTTTTAACAAGTTCCCAGTAACGTCAACATGCACAGAGCACAGTTGAGAACCAGGGCCTTAGCTATCATTTAGTAATCAAGAAATGAAACCTAAGCCTGAAATTACAGTGGATGCTTTATAATAAGTATTTAGTTAGCTTTCTCTTACAGCTACTTAGCAGTTAAAAATCTCAAAAGCATTCATTCCTACCTTGCCTCCCACAGCCACAGGCCTGTCAAAGATGCCATGCATGCCCAGAATGGCAGACTGAGGGGGGTTGATAATGGGTGTTCCAAAAAGGGATCCAAAAACTCCTCCATTGCTGATGGTGAAAGTACCACCATCCATATCTTCAATGGCAAGTTCATTCTTTCGGGCCTAAAAACAAGTTTCATAATTGCAACGTTAAGTCAAACCAGGTTTCTTCACTCCAAAAAAGTCAATGTAGAAAACTCTAATCTGAGCCCAGAAGTTCAAACCCCAGCAAACAGGACAGTCATTAAGGTGAGGGGACTGTGACCAGAGAAAGCATGATTCTACAATCAACATTTCTTTCCCCAGCCAGTTGTGATTTCAGCCACTGGGACTGGGAGTGGGACTGGGAGTGAGAAGTGGGAGGCTCTGCTAGACACTGTCCTTAGCTCTAATGGCCATTGCTTTTCTGGGTGGCTATGCATTACCTAGAGACACCAACCAGATGCCTGAGCAATGCCAACCTCTGCAGACTTTGTTCCCTCAACTGCCTAGCAGCTCATGCCCATGCTTCTGCCTACTGTACCTTCTCTCCTAGTTCATTAATGGTCCGTTCAATATCTGCATAATTCATAGTTTCCACATTCCTGATGACAGGAACCACGAGACCCTGGAGTGAAAAGTGGTTTTTAGTTGCAAAATAACAGTACTCTTTATAGTTACAATTTCCCCAACCAGAACACCTTAAACTCACTGTGATTAAAAAGACTTATACTAAGATAAAGGAATGTAGTATGGTTAAAAAAAAAAAAAAAAAAAAGTGTACTTTTACTAATTGATCCCCTAAAAATATAGAATTGTAGAAATAACCCCTTCCATATGATTAGCTTTTTTATATAAGTAAGTGGAGATCTGTGGTGGTTTGAATGAGAATGGCTCCTCCAGGATCATCTATTTGAACACTTGGCCTGAAGTTGGTAGAACTGTTTGGGAAGGATGGGGAGGTGTAGCCTTTTTGGATGTGTGTCACCATGGGAAGGCTCTGAGTTTTCAAGAAAGCCGTGGTACTCTCAGTTAGCTCTCACTCTGCTCTTTCTCGTTCCTGTGTCTCAACATGTGCGCTCTCAGGTACTGCTCCAGTACCATGCCTGCTGCCGCTTCCTACCATGATGGCAACTGGACTCTTAACCCTCTGAAAATGAAGCCCACCCAATACTGTTTCTCCTATAAGTTGCCTTGGTCATGGTGTCTATCACAGAAA